CAAAATAACGTTAAAACCTCAAAAGATGGATGAAAAATGTGCTTTAGGAGCTGAACTATAATAATTGATACTTTTGGAAGCAAACAAAACGGTTTAAGATAAGATTTTCACCAACAAAAATCTCTCTGTCACAATTTCTAGGTTATGTTCTCTCGGTGAACTAAGAGAATGTTAAAATTATCACAATATATTCAAACCAAGGGAGGGATATAAATCTTTTTGTAAGAAATAACACACAAATGATCAAAATGACCTGGAAAACACTTTTAAACCTTGCTTGGTGGCACATAATCGGAGGAAGAAGAGAGTCAAATTCTAAGAATGACGCCCCAAGAAAATCTCAAGATTAGAGGAAGCACGAAATAACAACAAGGGAAAAAAATAGGAATCAGTCTACAAAAAGGAGGACAAACAAACTGGTTTTAAATAGTTAAAAGGTAAGTATGAAGAAAATTATACAAAATTAAATGTGAAAGAAAAAAAAATCACATTATTTATTAATATAAACGTTGACTGAGAAATTTAACTAAATTTAAGTTAAATTAATTTAAATTTAAGTTAAATTTCTCAGTCAACGATATAAATTAGCATTTGTACAGATTTCTATTTAACCAACATATTTTACAGGAAACTGTAAACGATAATTGTTAAAATAATATAACTTTTCAGGACAAATTTTTTAAAACTTAACACAATAACTACAAAGTGTATATTTTGTTACTATATATGTGGGCGAATTTATTAAATTTCTCTTCGACCTTCTTTCTACAATCATCGAGCAAACCAGGCGACGAAGAAAGCGAATTTTCGAAATCTTTATTCTCCAAAATATAAATTTCGCAAGCATCAACAGCAATAACCGTAGCGAGTCTTTTACTATTCTTCAGTATCATCGCTCTTTCCCCAAAACATTCCCCATCCCCGACATGACAAATCTTAAAACAAAACATGATTATGAATAAAATAATCAAACTAAAAAATCCAACCTCTTCGTTATCTTTCGTATAAATAGCAACCGCGCCGTCGTGCACAAAAAACATACTCCCCCCATCATCTCCAGCACGAACAATAACATCATCTTTTAAATAAATAATCTGCCGCATTTTTAAAACAAAATTTTCGGTCACATAAGACGGTAAATGATTAAAAATTCCCGTTTTATCGATTAATTGCCTACAGCCGTGTCCTAAAACTTCGTCTTTAAGTTGAAACGATAAACAGTCCAAAATCTCGTCTTCTTGGAAATAATTTTTTTGATATCGGAAATCAAAGTATTGAAGAATGCGCAATCTAATAGCTTGAGGGAGACGTTTCGTTCTCATCATTCGCTTCAATCGTTGAATTCTGTTTTGATACAAATTCCTACTCGAGCTGTATTTAGTAACGAGTTGTAAAACTTCGGCGAAAGAGAATATTTTTAATATACTCCCGGCGATCCAACAAATTATCTCGAAAATAATAACGCCGTTGCTTTGCGAGTATTCGTTACCGAATCCAACCATAAAAACTAAATAAGAAACTCGGTAAAAACACGTAATCACTTTTCCGGGTTTTGTGGTATCTCTCATCCATTTCTCATCGTACACAGTAACGAGAAAATATAACAAACTAGTCGCCCACCAAATTATTATTAAAGTAATAACGATTAATTTTAAAAAATGGAAGCGGTAAAAAGTGATTTGGGTGCATTCCGTAAATCCTTGAAGATATCTGACTATCATGCTGATTCTTAATATTTTCAAATAATTTAGTATCACCGTCATCGTGACGATTATTAATCCATGAAGATTAACTAAACAAATCACATCGAAAAGAAACCAAGATTTCAAATAGTTCCTAAAAAAGAAATAATAACACCAAAAGTATCAAAAATCGTTGAATTACGCACTTTGCTACTTCTTTGCGATTAAGAATCACTTTGTTATTCGCCGCGCAAAAGTAACCCGTATTGAAGTTAATTCCGATGTCGATGGTAAAAAAGGTGATGAAGAAACCGTGAATTATTGTTGTTATTGTAAATAAGTCCTCATCGAAGTAGACCAAAAATGGATAATAAAGTAATGAAAGTAACACTACGATGATCATAAATGTTTCCCAAGCCATTCTAGAAAGAAAATAATCAGAGATTAACTTCAGTTATAAAATATCAACCTCAATTTTGACATATTTGTAATCTTCATTAAAAATCCTTTAAAATGAGTACAAACACGACATATTTATCTTCAATATTAATGAAGTTATGGTCAACTTCCGGTTAGGAATGTCAACGTCAATTTTGACATATTTGTAATCGTCGTGAAAAATCCTTTAAAATGAGTCCAAACATGATACGTTTAATTCCAATATTACTCGAGATATAAGCAACTTCCGGTTTGAAATGTCAATGTCATTTTGACATATTCTTAATTTTTATAAAATGTCTTAATATTTGCCACAAAAACAAAAATATAATAAAAAAAAAAATAAAAAATTAAGGTTGGTATTAATATTTAAAAATTAAATTGCTATCATCATTGTTGCCAACTTCGGGTTTAATGTTTTTTATTCTAACTTTTTTGTTTTTTGAGATAACTTCATCATGTTTGGACTCATTTTAAAGGTTTTTTAACGAAGATGACGAATATGGCAAAATTGACGTTGACGTTTCAAACCGGAAGTGATTGTATTTCCATTAATATTAAAGTTAAATAAGTAGAGTTTGGACTCATTTTAAAGGATTTTTATAAAGTTGACAAATATGTCAAAATTAAAATTTTTTGGGAAAAATTCAAGAATCATCATGTAGCTTAAAAATCTACGATTTTTCTTCATCAATATGGAATGACCCAAAAAACACGTTAAAAATAAAAAGAGAGTGCGTAAAAGTGACTAACACTAGATTAATTTCAGTTATAAAACTTCTATTATATGTTAACTAACTTCAAGTTTAAAATGTCAACCTCAATTTTGACATATTTGTAATCTTCATTAAAAATCCTTTAAAATGAGTACAAACACGACATATTTATCTTCAATATTAATGAAGTTATGGTCAACTTCCGGTTAAGAATGTCAACGTCAATTTTGACATATTTGTAATCGTCGTGAAAAATCCTTTAAAATGAGTCCAAACATGATACGTTTAATTCCAATATTACTCGAGATATAAGCAACTTCCGGTTTGAAATGTCAATGTCATTTTGACATATTCTTAATTTTTATAAAATGTCTTAATATTTGTCACAAAAACAAAAATATAAAAAAAAAAAAATAAAAAATTAAGGTTGGTATTAATATTTAAAAATTAAATTGCTATCTTCATTGTTGCCAACTTCGGGTTTAATGTTTTTAATTCTAACTTTTTTGTTTTTTGAGATAAGTACGTCAACTTTGGACTCATTTTAGAGGTTTTTTAACGAAGATGGCGAATATGTCAAAATTGACGTTGACGTTTCAAACCGGAAATGATTGTATTTCCATTAATATTAAAGTTAAATAAGTCGAGTTTGGACTCGTTTTAAAGGATTTTTTATGAAGTTGACAAATATGTCAAAATTTAAATTTTTTGGGATAATTTCAAAAATCATCATGTGGCTTAAAAATCGACGATTTTTCTTAATCCTTATGGAATGACCCAAAAACACGTTAAAAATAAAAAGAAAGATTAATTTCAGTTATAAAACTTCTATTATATGATAACTAACTTCAGGTTTAAAATGTCAACCTCAATTTTGACATATTTGTAATCTTCATTAAAAATCCTTTAAAATGAGTACAAACACGACATATTTATCGTCAGTATTAATGAAGTTATGGTTAACTTCCGGTTAAGAATGTCAACGTCAATTTTGACATATTTATAATCGTCGTGAAAAATCCTTTAAAATGAGTCCAAACATGATAGGTTTAATTCCAATATTAGTCGAGATATAAGCAACTTCCGGTTTGAAATGTCATTTAAAGGTTTTTTAAAGAAGATGACGAATATGGCAAATTGACGTTGACGTTTCAAACCGAAAGTGATTGTATTTCCATTAATATTAAAGTTAAATAAGTCGAGTTTGGACTCATTTTAAAGGATTTTTTATGAAGTTGACAAATATGTCAAAATAAACATGCACAAGTTTTCAAATGTGGCGGCATTATTTGACAGGTGTAATTACATCTGACGAATTCTCAACCAGTCGTATATGTATATATACCCTTTGTTTATAGAGAATATGATATACTTTATAAACAATAATATACCCAATTTAACCTGTATTAGTGGTTCGATTCTTTGCTAAATAATTTTAAAATATCCCCAACAGATGGCGCCACATGCGTTCTATTTTTAGTACGAAATTTTTTTAGAGGGTTACATTTCTACGAAGCTATTTTTTATGCTTTTATCCCGTAGATTGAAATTAACTGAGCTTGGTTAACGTTAAGAATAACATCAATTCTTTGATTATATATATTATAATAAGGTTATAATATGGATTGAGATTGAGCCAACAAGAGAGAAGAGATGGATATGGAAGCGTTAATTTTGGCGGTAAATAATTTATAATACTTACAGGTGATGTAAAACTGTGTTATCGCGAAATAATACATTTTTAAACATAAAGCTGTCACATGAACCAATTATATGTATGTAATCCAAGGTATGTATAAACGTCAAATGGGAGAGGTTATGTTTTTATTGCGATTGCACTTTTATGCGCATGCGCGTGTCTGTTTGGTACGGTTTTACGTCTATCTTTGTTGCATTTTCACATTTTTGTTAGTATTTATGTACAGTTAGCTCAATTCGTATTATATATAATCAAAGCATCAATTAATTGTAAAAGTAATAAAAGTGGGAATCAAAAATTCCAAAATTAATTAAATTTATGTCAAATTTTGACGTTTCATAATTGACGTACCCAACTTCACACCAAAAATTTTATAAAAATACTTTAACATACTTGAATTCACTGTAGGGATGTATCATATAATAATCCCTCTTCATATGCAACTCCATCGCCGTTTTAAAAGCCGAAACCGAATTGTACAAATTCTTAGCGGTCCCATTTTTTGGGTTAACCAACGTTTTTTTCCTTATATATCTCCGAAAAGCCACGCACCACCCAGTACTTATATACATAATCAAAAGCGGCTCTTCTTTCGGCAATTGACAAACATGTTTAATCTCGTGCATAAAATTATATTGCACCGTCGTTCTCATTTTTATGTTATAAATAATCCCTTTTTAATTCTTGTTTTTAGGGTATTAACAGCTGTGTTTGGAGTAACAGTTGCTATGGGGAGTTTTATTTACGTTCTGCATCGATTATTTCCCCTCGAAAGGATAAAAACACCGAAAGATTAACGCAGTGTCGTTTCGAACGTCTATTTTGACGGATAAAACGTGTTGATTTGATGCTGTTGATATGTCAGGGACAAATCGAGCAAATCCTGGAGATAACTTCGACTTAAAATTGTTCGGTGACAAGGTAAATTCTGATCGATGAGGGTTTTAAAGAAGATTTACTAAAACGTATTCTTTTTTAGGTGAAACTCGAAGTTCGAACGATAAATAAGCCCACATCGAGATGTGCTTTATTAAGCAGACCTTCCTCGGCAATTCCAGCTCTTAATTTATATTCTAAAGTAAATATTTACTAAGATATAACTAATATGAAGTAAATGTGACGTTTCAGCAAGAAGATTTCGATTTAAAAATAAAGAGGCCCTTCTCAGCTGGGTGTATTCAACACAAATCAATGGAAAGTTTATGTAATGAAGATCCATCAGCTCAATTATGCGCTTCCGAAGCTAAATTCGAAAAAAATCAAGATTTTGAATCTTATAATTGCCTATTAAAGCCAGGATTAACAACGAAACCACCCCTTCCAAAAAAATCGGAGCAAAACCAAAAACTTGACGATGAAATTGAAATAATTCGTTTAAAATCGTTGCAGTTCGATAAAGAATTTAACGAGGCTTACAAAACATCTAAAGATATAATGAGTGAAAAGGAATTTGAGAATTACTTGGAGAAATCAAGTTATTTTAAAATCGAGGAAAAAAACGCCGCAAAAAATGAGAAAAAAACCGACGGATTTTTAAAGAACTTAAAAATAAAGCAAGTAGAAATCGATAAATGTATTAATAAAGCTCAAAAAGTTTTAGAGAAAAGTTTACCAAAATCTAATAAAGATTCAAAATTAAACAGCCAAATGAAAGTGGATAACTGGTTAAACGACAAAACTAAAACAGAAACAAACAAAACCAACTATTTTGAGATACTAGATAAAGTGGAAGATTTAGATTTCGTTACAAGAGTGGAAGATGAGATGTTAAAAGAAATTCCCGAACATGATAAAGAAGACGTTTCCGATTCTAATACTTACGATGATATTGTTCAAATCCTCGAGGTTTTAGAAGAAGAGGATAGAAAATCACGTAAATATAACATAAATTAGTTATACATAAATGAATTAATCAATTTTAGACCGAAACATCGAATCGATGAAAGAAATTTTAGATTTAAAACAAAAAGATGTACCGATTATCAAAATAACCGAAGCAAGTCGAGCGAGTTCCGCGACGAGTCATTCAAGCGATCAAGGATTGGGCTCAACAGCTTCGTTAATCTCTAATTCATCAAATTACACGTAAATTTAATTTATTTAAAGCAATTTTATTTGGTGATTTTCTTTGTAAATTAATAACGTTTGGTAACACTGCTTCCCTAACTGTCAAATGAGTGACGTTTAAGATAATATCAAAAAGTTATTTTTGTTATTATTAAGTACGAAGGCTTTCACGGTCGGTGTTTATTAAATTAAAACTAGAAATAACACTAAACCTAGAACTAAAAACTTTTTTTTCTATTTTCTAGAATGTACATTCACCGTACTATTCAGTGGGAAATTAAAAAGGGGGAAATAATTTCTTCATATCATTGGCTATACCTATACACAGCCTTAACTAATAGAGATATCAAAAATATCTATTAAGATTATTTATTTAAAATCGAAATCTGAACAACAATTATTTGAGAAATTTTTTGATTTAGATAATAATTGAGGAGATAACCTCAAAAAATAATCTTCGTATACCTATACATAGCCTTAATTAACATAGATATTAAAATTTTTTATTAAAATAATTTATTTAAAATCGAAATGTAAACTAATTTTGTTTGAAAAACTTTTTGATACAAACAATAATTATTAAGATAACCTCTAAAATCGTGATTTTGATATCAATGTGGAGAGCCATCTGGTGGAGGTTTAAATTTTTTTTATTAAATGTTAGATTTTGAATGATAATTAAAACAATTATTATATGAAACCACCAATAAGCTTTTTTCTATTTTCTAGAATGTACATTCACCGTACTATTCAGTGGGAAATTAAAATGTCGAAATTTCAAAAAATTGTATTAATAAAAGTTATTACTGATTTAATTCTAAACAAGTATTATTAATAAAAAATTTTGATTTGATCAATAATTAATGAGATAACCTCAAAAAAATAATTTCTTCATATCATTGGCTATACCTATACACAGCCTTAACTAATAGAGATATCAAAAATATCTATTAAGATTATTTATTTAAAATCGAAATCTGAACAACAATTATTTGAAAAAATTTTTGATTTTGATAATAAGTGAGGAGATAACCTCAAAAAATAATCTTCGTATACCTATACATAGCCTTAATTAATATAGATATCAAAATTTTTTATTGAGATAATTTATTTAAAATCAAAATATAAACTAATTTTGTTTGAAAAACTTTTTGATACAAACAATAATTATTAAGATAACCTCTAAAATCGCGATTTTGATATCAATGTGGAGAGCCATTCTGGTGGAGGTTTAAATTTTTTTTATTAAATGATAGATTTTGAATGATAATTAAAATAATTATTATATGAAACTACCAATAAGCTTTTTTCTATTTTCTAGAATGTACATTCACCGTACTATTCAGTGGGAAATTAAAATGTTGAAATTTCAAAAAATTGTATTAATAAAAGTTATTACTGATTTAATTCTAAACAAGTATTATTAATAAAAAATTTTGATTTGATCAATAATTAATGAGATAACCTCAAAAAAATAATTTCTTCATATCATTGGCTATACCTATACACAGCCTTAACTAATAGAGATATCAAAAATATCTATTAAGATTATTTATTTAAAATCGAAATCTGAACAACAATTATTTGAGAAATTTTTTGATTTAGATAATAATTGAGGAGATAACCTCAAAAAATAATCTTCGTATACCTATACATAGCCTTAATTAACATAGATATCAAAATTTTTTATTAAGATAATTTATTTAAAATCGAAATATAAACAAATTTTGTTTAAAAAACTTTTTGATACAAACAATAATTATTAAGATAACCTCTAAAATCGTGATTTTGATATCAATGTGGAGAGCCATCTGGTGGAGATTTAAATTTTTTTTATTAAATGATAGATTTTGAATGATAATTAAAATAATTATTATATGAAACTACCAATAAGCTTTTTTCTATTTTCTAGAATGTACATTCACCGTACTATTCAGTGGGAAATTAAAATGTTGAAATTTCAAAAAATTGTATTAATAAAAGTTATTACTGATTTAATTCTAAACAAGTATTATTAATAAAAAATTTTGATTTGATCAATAATTAATGAGATAACCTCAAAAAAATTATTTCTTCATATCATTGGCTATACCTATACACAGCCTTAACTAATAAAGATATCAAAAATATCTATTAAGATTATTTATTTAAAATCGAAATCTGAAAAACAATTATTTGAAACATTTTTTGATTTACATAATAATTGAGGAGATAACCTCAAAAAGTAATCTTCGTATACCTATACATAGCCTTAATTAATATAGATATCAAAATTTTTTATTAAGATAATTTATTTAAAATCGAAATATAGACTAATTTTGTTTGAAAAACTTTTTGATACAAACAATAATTATTAAGATAACCTCAAAAATCGTGATTTTGATATCAATGTGGAGAGCCATCTGGTGGAGGTTTAAATTTTTTTTATTAAATGATAGATTTTGAATGATAATTAAAATAATTATTATATGAAACTACCAATAAGCTTTTTTCTATTTTCTAGAATGTACATTCACCGTACTATTCAGTGGGAAATTAAAATGTTGAAATTTCAAAAAATTGTATTAATAAAAGTTATTACTGATTTAATTCTAAACAAGTATTATTAATAAAAAATTTTGATTTGATCAATAATTAATGAGATAACCTCAAAAAAATAATTTCTTCATATCATTGGCTATACCTATACACAGCCTTAACTAATAGAGATATCAAAAATATCTATTAAGATTATTTATTTAAAATCGAAATCTGAACAACAATTATTTGAGAAATTTTTTGATTTAGATAATAATTGAGGAGATAACCTCAAAAAATAATCTTCGTATACCTATACATAGCCTTAATTAATATAGATATCAAAATTTTTTATTAAGATAATTTATTTAAAATCGAAATATAAACTAATTTTGTTTGAAAAACTTTTTGATACAAACAATAATTATTAAGATAACCTCAAAAATCGTGATTTTGATATCAATGTGGAGAGCCATCTGGTGGAGGTTTAAATTTTTTTTATTAAATGATAGATTTTTAATGGTAATTAAAATAATTATTATATGAAACTATCAATAAGCTTTTTTCTATTTTCTAGAATGTACATTCACCGTACTATTCAGTGGGAAATTAAAATGTTGAAATTTCAAAAAATTGTATTAAAAAAAATTACTACTGATTTGATTCTAAACAAGTATTATTAATAAAAAAATTTGATTTGATCAATAATTAATGAGATAACCTCAAAAAAATAATTTCTTCATATCATTGGCTATACCTATACACAGCCTTAACTAATAGAGATATCAAAAATATCTATTAAGATTATTTATTTAAAATCGAAATCTGAACAACAATTATTTGAGAAATTTTTTGATTTAGATAATAATTGAGGAGATAACCTCAAAAAATAATCTTCGTATACCTATACATAGCCTTAATTAATATAGATATCAAAATTTTTTATTAAGATAATTTATTTAAAATCGAAATATAAACTAATTTTGTTTGAAAAACTTTTTGATACAAACAATAATTATTAAGATAACCTCAAAAATCGTGATTTTGATATCAATGTGGAGAGCCATCTGGTGGAGGTTTAAATTTTTTTTATTAAATGATAGATTTTTAATGATAATTAAAATAATTATTATATGAAACTATCAATAAGCTTTTTTCTATTTTCTAGAATGTACATTCACCGTACTATTCAGTGGGAAATTAAAATGTTGAAATTTCAAAAAATTGTATTAAAAAAAATTACTACTGATTTGATTCTAAACAAGTATTATTAATAAAAAAATTTGATTTGATCAATAATTAATGAGATAACCTCAAAAAAATAATTTCTTCATATCATTGGCTATACCTATACACAGCCTTAACTAATAGAGATATCAAAAATATCTATTAAGATTATTTATTTAAAATCGAAATCTGAACAACAATTATTTGAGAAATTTTTTGATTTAGATAATAATTGAGGAGATAACCTCAAAAAATAATCTTCGTATACCTATACATAGCCTTAATTAATATAGATATCAAAATTTTTTATTAAGATAATTTATTTAAAATCGAAATATAAACTAATTTTGTTTGAAAAACTTTTTGATACAAACAATAATTATTAAGATAACCTCAAAAATCGTGATTTTGATATCAATGTGGAGAGCCATCTGGTGGAGGTTTAAATTTTTTTTATTAAATGATAGATTTTTAATGATAATTAAAATAATTATTATATGAAACTATCAATAAGCTTTTTTCTATTTTCTAGAATGTACATTCACCGTACTATTCAGTGGGAAATTAAAATGTTGAAATTTCAAAAAATTGTATTAAAAAAAATTACTACTGATTTGATTCTAAACAAGTATTATTAATAAAAAAATTTGATTTGATCAATAATTAATGAGATAACCTCAAAAAAATAATTTCTTCATATCATTGGCTATACCTATACACAGCCTTAACTAATAGAGATATCAAAAATATCTATTAAGATTATTTATTTAAAATCGAAATCTGAACAACAATTATTTGAGAAATTTTTTGATTTAGATAATAATTGAGGAGATAACCTCAAAAAATAATCTTCGTATACCTATACATAGCCTTAATTAATATAGATATCAAAATTTTTTATTAAGATAATTTATTTAAAATCGAAATATAAACTAATTTTGTTTGAAAAACTTTTTGATACAAACAATAATTATTAAGATAACCTCAAAAATCGTGATTTTGATATCAATGTGGAGAGCCATCTGGTGGAGGTTTAAATTTTTTTTATTAAATGATAGATTTTTAATGATAATTAAAATAATTATTATATGAAACTATCAATAAGCTTTTTTCTATTTTCTAGAATGTACATTCACCGTACTATTCAGTGGGAAATTAAAATGTTGAAATTTCAAAAAATTGTATTAAAAAAAATTACTACTGATTTGATTCTAAACAAGTATTATTAATAAAAAAATTTGATTTGATCAATAATTAATGAGATAACCTCAAAAAAATAATTTCTTCATATCATTGGCTATACCTATACACAGCCTTAACTAATAGAGATATCAAAAATATCTATTAAGATTATTTATTTAAAATCGAAATCTGAACAACAATTATTTGAGAAATTTTTTGATTTAGATAATAATTGAGGAGATAACCTCAAAAAATAATCTTCGTATACCTATACATAGCCTTAATTAATATAGATATCAAAATTTTTTATTAAGATAATTTATTTAAAATCGAAATATAAACTAATTTTGTTTGAAAAACTTTTTGATACAAACAATAATTACAGTAATAATAATTATTTTTGTTTTCAGCGAAATTTTATCGTATTTAGATGAGGTCGATAAAACTTGCACAAAATCTCTTAAAGTGGCTAAAGAAAAAGTTCAAAAAGTAACTAAGGCTTTGGAAGGAACTGTGGTGTTTTCAACAATTCCGAAAAAAGAGGATTTAATTCAACTAACAATAGAGGAGCTTTCCGAGCAAATAATCGATCTGCATCTCCGCGTTAAAGATAAATCGTCCTCTATAAAACTCCTTCAAGACGAATTATCATCGCTTAGAGACCAAGTGTTAAAAATAACCAAACAAACGGAGACCATCGTAAGGGAGAAATTAAAATCTCAAAAAGAGGAGCACGAAAACATCGTGAAGCGCCACCAAAAATTCATCGACCAATTAATAGCCGATAAAAAAGCATTAAATCAACAATGCGAGGGTCTCATCAACGAAATGAAAATGTTGGAGGATCGGTATAGTTCGAATATGAAAGCTGCCGAACATAAACACCAAGTTGAAATGAAAAAAGCTAAAGAAATGCATTTAGCCGGGGAAAAGATACGGAGAGAACGTTGGATTGAAGGAAAAACACAAAAAATTAAAGAACTCACAGTGAAAAGTATCGAACCCGAGCTTCAAAGTATGACTTTACGACACGAACGTGAACTCTCCGATCTCCGAGCTTTACATAAAAAAGAAATCGAAGATTTGGAGATGAAATCGGCGAGAAAAACCCAACAATTATTAGAAAACTTACGAGAACAATTAGGCGAAGAAAGAGAAAAGGCTGTTGCGAACGAGCGCGAAATAATGAATCAACGATACCAAAAATTAATCGAAAACGAAGAAAAAAATTATCAAGAACAAAGAAGACGATTACAACAAGAACATTCAAAAAAAATGTTAGAATGCGAAGAAAAAGAGGCGATGATAACAACGGAAAAAGAAAAAACAATAAAATTAATTCAAGAAGATTTCGATGAAAAATTAAACGCCTCAAAACGAAAACACAACAACGAATTAAAACTTTTAAAAGAAACAACCGAAATGGAATTAGAAGCGTGGAAAAATAATTACCGCAAACAACAAACCGTACAATTACTTGAAAAAGAAACGAAAATGCGAGAGCAATTTAAAAAAGAACGCGATCGGGAAATCGAGGAAGTTATCGAAAGATTAGAAGCTGAAACGAACGAAAATAGACAACAAATTGAGATTACCACGGAAAATAGGATACGAAGAATGCGGGAGAAATTTGAAAATGAAATTAAAGAATTGGAAAAATCCGAAAATGAGGTTAAATTAAAATACGGTCAAACGAAAACGAAATTGTTAGAATACGAAGATGTTGTGATTCATTTAAAAGGTAGTATTAAACAAATAGAGAATCAATTGAGTGTGAGTCAAGAAATTTCTGCGAAATTAACGGAGGAAAAAGAAAATATGAAGGAAATTGTTCGGAAAGAAATGAACGAGGATTTAAAAGAGTTAGAAAATGAAGTAAATCGATTAAAAAGTGAGAAAGATAAGGAGTTAAATCAAGTTTATTCGAGGTAATTTTTGTTTAAATATTATTTATTACTAATTAATAATTAATTTTATTTTAGAGTTAAAATTGCGATAGCTAAAAAGGATGAAATGCTTCAAGAATTATCGCGAGATTTTACTTCTATTCAAGAAAAATGTGTTTATTTGGAGAATATGTTGGAGCAGCAACGAAAAGAATATTTAATTAAGTAATTTTATAAAAATACGTTTTGTATCAATTTTTTAATATATTTTTTGTGATTAATTTCACAATTTCATAATAGATGTCGGCTATATTCATTTAACCTTCAAGTAGCTATTGACACAACTGTCAATAGAAATGATTGATGGACAAAAGATGGCGTTAGTAGTTAATAAATTCAAAATTTACATTCACTGTACTATTCAGTGGGAAATTAAAATGTGGAAATTTCAAAAAATTGTATTAAAAAAAATTATTACTGATTTAATTCTAAACAAGTATTACTAAAAAAAAAATTTGATTTGATCAATAATTAATGAGATAACCTCAAAAAAATAATTTCTTCATATCATTGGCTATACCTATACACAGCCTTAACTAATAGAGATATCAAAAATATCTATTAAGATTATTTATTTAAAATCGAAATCTGAACAACAATTATTTGAGAAATTTTTTGATTTAGATAATAATTGAGGAGATAACCTCAAAAAATAATCTTCGTATACCTATACATAGCCTTAATTAATATAGATATCAAAATTTTTTATTAAGATAATTTATTTAAAATCGAAATATAAACTAATTTTGTTTGAAAAACTTTTTGATACAAACAATAATTATTAAGATAACCTCAAAAATCGTGATTTTGATATCAATGTGGAGAGCCATCTGGTGGAGGTTTAAATTTTTTTCATTAAATAATAGATTTTGAATGATAATTAAAATAATTATTATATGAAACCACCAATATGCTTTTTTCTATTTTCTAGAATGTACATTCACCGTACTATTCAGTGGGAAATTAAAATGTTGAAATTTCAAAAAATTGTATTAATAAAAGTTATTACTGATTTAATTCTAAACAAGTATTATTAATAAAAAATTTTGATTTGATCAATAATTAATGAGATAACCTCAAAAAAATAATTTCTTCATATCATTGGCTATACCTATACACAGCCTTAACTAATAGAGATATCAAAAATATCTATTAAGATTATTTATTTAAAATCGAAATCTGAACAACAATTATTTGAGAAATTTTTTGATTTAGATAATAATTGAGGAGATAACCTCAAAAAATAATCTTCGTATACCTATACATAGCCTTAATTAATATAGATATCAAAATTTTTTATTAAGATAATTTATTTAAAATCGAAATATAAACAAATTTTGTTTGAAAAACTTTTTGATACAAACAATAATTATTAAGATAACCTCAAAAATCGTGATTTTGATATCGATGTGGAGAGCCATCTGGTGGAAGTTTAAATTTTTTTCATTAAATAATAGATTTTGAATGATAATTAAAATAATTATTATATGAAACCACCAATATGTTTTTTTCTATTTTCTAGAATGTACATTCACCGTACTATTCAGTGGGAAATTAAAATGTTGAAATTTCAAAAAATTGTATTAAAAAAATTATTACTGATTTAATTCTAAACAAGTATTATTAATAAAAAAATTTGATTCAATCAATAATTAATGAGATAACCTCAAAAAAATAATTTCTTCATATCATTGCCTATACCTATACACAGCCTTAACTAATAGAGACATCAAAAATATCTATTAAGATTATTTATTTAAAATCGAAATCTGAACAACAATTATTTGAGAAATTTTTTGATGTAGATAATAATTGAGGAGATAACCTCAAAAAATAATCTTCGTATACCTACACATAGCCTTAATTAACATAGATATCAAAATTTTTTGTTAAGATAATTTATTTAAAATCGAAATATAAACTAATTTTGTTTGAAAAACTTTTTGATACAAACAATAATTATTAAGATAACCTCAAAAATCGTGATTTTGATATCAATGTGGAGAGCCATCTGGTGGAGGTTTAAATTTTTTTTATTAAATGATAGATTTTAATGATAATTAAAATAATTATTATATGAAACTACCAATAAGCTTTTTTCTATTTTCTAGAATGTACATTCACCGTACTATTCAGTGGGAAATTAAAATGTTGAAATTTCAAAAAATTGTATTAAAAAAAATTATTACTGATTTAATTCTAAACAAGTATTATTAATAAAAAAATTTGATTTGATCAATAATTAATGAGATAACCTCAAAAAAATAATTTCTTCATATCATTGGCTATACCTATACACAGCCTTAACTAATAGAGATATCAAAAATATTTATTAAGATTATTTATTTAAAATCGAAATCTGAACAACAATTATTTGAGAAATTTTTTGATTTAGATAATAATTAAGGAGATAACCTCAAAAAATAATCTTCGTATACCTATACATAGCCTTAATTAACATAGATATTAAAATTTTTTATTAAGATAATTTATTTAAAATCGAAATATAAGCAAATTTTGTTTGAAAAACTTTTTGATACAAACAATAATTATTAAGATAACCTCAAAAATCGTGATTTTAATATCAATGTGGAGAGCCATCTGGTGGAGGTTTAAATTTTTTTCATTAATAATAGATTTTCAATGATAATTAAAATAATTATTATATGAAACTACCAATAAGCTTTTTTCTATTTTCTAGAATGTACATTCACTGTACTATTCAGTGGGAAATTAAAATGTTGAAATTTCAAAAAATTGTATTAATAAAAGTTATTACTGATTTAATTCTAAACAAGTATTATTAATAAAAAATTTTGATTTGATCAATAATTAATGAGATAACCTCAAAAAAATAATTTCTTCATATCATTGGCTATACCTATACACAGCCTTAACTAATAGAGATATCAAAAATATCTATTAAGATTATTTATTTAAAATCGAAATCTGAACAACAATTATTTGAGAAATTTTTTGATTTAGATAATAATTGAGGAGATAACCTCAAAAAATAATCTTCGTATACCTATACATAGCCTTAATTAATATAGATATCAAAATTTTTTATTAAGATAATTTATTTAAAATCGAAATATAAACTAATTTTGTTTGAAAAACTTTTTGATACAAACAATAATTATTAAGATAACCTCAAAAATCGTGATTTTGATATCAATGTGGAGAGCCATCTGGTGGAGGTTTAAATTTTTTTTATTAAATGACAGATTTTGAATGATAATTAAAATAATTATTATATGAAACTATCAATAAGCTTTTTTCTATTTTTTAGAATGTACATTCACCGTACTATTCAGTGGGAAATTAAAATGTTGAAATTTCAAAAAATTGTATTAAAAAAAGGTATTACTGATTTAATTCTAAACAAGTATTGTTAATAAAAAATTTTGATTTGATCAATAATTAATGAGATAACCTCAAAAAAATAATTTCTTCATATCATTGGCTATACCTATACACAGCCTTAACTAATAGAGATATCAAAAATATCTATTAAGATTATTTATTTAAAATCGAAATCTGAACAACAATTATTTGAGAAATTTTTTGATTTAGATTATAATTGAGGAGATAACCTCAAAAAATAATCTGCGTGTACCTATACATAGCCTTAATTAACATAGATATTAAATTCTTTTATTAAGATAATTTATTTAAAATCGAAATATAAACAAATTTTGTTTGAAAAACTTTTTGATACAAACAATAATTATTTTTGTTTTCAGCGATATTTTATCGTATTTAGATGAGGTCGATAAAACTTGCACAAAATCTCTTAAAGTGGCTAAAGAAAAAGTTCAAAAAGTAATTAAGGCTTTAGAAGGAACTGTGGTGTTTTCAACAATTCCAAAAAAAGAGGATTTGACTCAACTAACAATAGAGGAAGAAGAAGTAGAAAATGAAGTAAATCGATTCAAAAGTGAGAAAGACAAGGAGTTAAATCAAGTTTATTCGAGGTAATTTTTGTTTAATTATCATTTATTATTAATTAATAATTAATTTTATTTTAGGGTTAAAATTGCGATAGCTAAAAAGGACGAAATGCTTCAAGAATTATCGCGAGATTTTTCTTCTATTCAAGAAAAATGTGTTTATATTTGTATCAATTTTTAAATATATTTTTTGTGATTAATTTCACAATTTCATAATAGATGTCGGCTATATTCATTTAACCTTCAAGCAGGTATTGACACAACTGTCAATAGAAACGATTGATGCACAAAAGATGGCGTTAGTAGTTAATAAATTCAAAATTTATTATTTTCTCTTTTTGTATTAAATCCATATAATTAGAGAAACGGTTCGAACCAAAAGTGATAATAACTTATAGGATTATTTACCTGCATAAGACCGCCTTCCTCATCGGGGAGACATCCGTGCGTAAATTCCGCCTCGTAATTCCCTGTAGTTTTATCTTGTTCGATTTCCATGGCAGCAAAACGCATTCCACCCTCCTTTATTTAAGTCCCATTCGTTTGGTTATCCGGGCAGTGACCTTGGTAATAACATCTTCTGACTGTAAAATAAAAATAATAAAAGATAAAATTTTGAGTTTTTACCATCATCGATGTAAGATAGCAAAAAAAAAAAGGTTAAAAAATTGAAAAATGTGTGTATTAGTTGTGTTCCAATGATATGTTAGAAGTTAATAAATTCTACAAAATTTATTATTTTTTCTATTTGTATTAAATCCATATAAGCTTGCATTTGCATCATAGGCTTAGATATTTGTGGAACAATTAGAACTAATATAAATCTGGTGTTGAATAACAACTAAAAACAAAATTAACATTGTCACTAAAACTTACACAAATATTACTTCTAATATTTATTAGAATTATTATAATATTCATTTAAAACAGCTAGTCAACAAAAGATGGCACTAATGCGAAATTAAAAATTTATATAATCTATTGAAAGATTAATTTAAATAAAGTGATAGTGGATAAAGTTTTTCCCATACTTCATAACGTTCCTCAAACATAAAAGACGAAGTTTTCAAATTAATGTTAATATCTAAATATTGTTGATTGATCAAATCATATTCCGGCCAATTATACAATTCTGCATTGGGATTACCAGTTTTAATGAAATTACCCCAAATCGTTGTTAGATTATCAACGATTTTACTCTCGGGTTCTTCGGTAAACATCGGAGTTCGAAGTGAGATATAAAAAAGATAGAATAAATCATCGTGGTGTGATGCACCTAAAAATTTGAGTACAATTTTTTGTGTTTATTAATTTTTAATTTGTTACCATAAGGAATGGTGTCGTTGGTTCCGGGGATATAAAAGAAAGAATGTTCTCCTTCATAACTAAACTGGTAATAATAAACTTTGCTGTTGAGGTGTTGCGTTAAAAGTTTTGCACCGCGATTACTCCCAAAACCGATTATGCTATCGGCGTATAAATCGGCGATTCCTTGCCGTTTCGATTCATCAATTTCGTTACCGGGGAAATAAAATTTCCGTAATCCTTCGGAGACGTTTAAAGAAAATTGCGAATCTCTTTCGTACCCAAAAATAATCGGCCAAATTGTTTTGTAGTTTTCATCAAATTCTTTCAAAGCGGTTTGATTATTCACTACAACTAAAAAAAATGATTTAATTTAAATTAATTAAATAAAAAATTAATTTACAATAAGATCTTCCACCAAATTCATCTTTAGTAACCCCGATTAAAAGGGGAACATCGGCGACTCTTTTATTAACAACGGACTTTATTGGATGTTCGACCAAAAATCGTTCCTGCCCAAAATCAGGTTCAATAACCGGCATCCATAACCAAATTGGATCATAAAGAAACTCTTGATATCCTTCCAAATTATTCGATAATTCCTCCGAAGTTTTCGATTTTAGACAATCAATAAGGCCATTGTCAACTTCTTCGGGACAATTAACTAATTGGGCTTGTTTTTTAGCCAATCTTAATTGATCGGAAATAATTGGTTGTACCCCAAAAGCAGTTCCACTCATTGAAATAGCTTTATGAAATAATCCCCTCGACATCGGTGAGACCATATGAAGAGTTACGCTCATTCCCCCAGCACTATAACCACAAATTGTTACATTATTGGGATCACCAGAAAATGAAGCAATATTTTGTTGAACCCAACGAAGAACTTGAACTTGATCTTTAAGTCCGTTATTTCCTGGGGCCTCTTTACTACCCGTTGCTAAAAAACCGAGGGTTTGAAGGCGATAATTTGGAACAACCAAAACTATATCTTGATCTAAAAGATAATGAGGACCAAAGAATTCGCTCGACGAAATTCCTTCGTAAAAACCACCAGGGTGGAAAAAAACCATAACCGGCTTTTTCTCATTTTCTAACTAAAATTATAATGCTAAAAAAATTCGGATGAAATTTTAAAACTTACGCTTCGCGTATAAACATTAAGAAATAAACAATCCTCTTTAGTTGAATCAACGAAAGATTGTGGACAAAGAGGAGGATTTTCTGTGGCATCGTAAATTTCATTCCAAGGTTTTACAGGAACTGGAGGCTAAAAGTAATAAGTAAACACTAACTCAAAAAATTGTTTTGAATTTAAACGTCACTTTGACGTTTCTTATGTTTCAAAGTTGCGATAATAGATGGCGGTAACACGTTAATTTATTTTTATTAAATTAATTTTTAATAAATAAATTAATCAAACATATTAATATTATTCAAGGACAGTAAAATCTATAATCTAGTAGATTCTTGAATATTATTAGATTTAATTTAAATAATTTTAATGGAAACGTTAAAAAAATAATAACTTATTTATGTTGGTATCACTTATAAATTAGAAGTTGACAGTGACAGCCCACAAAGAAACTTTATTTTAATACCTGAAATCTTAAATTTCCAATTGGTGCCTCAGCATATCGAACCCCGAGAAAAGAAAGAATCTTTGCCCCTTTCCTACTTGTTAATGTGGTTCCTCTAAGTTGCCCCAAAGGAGTTGAAACGATTAAATTTGTTTCAGATTGTATGAAATAACCCAACGATGTTGAAGCATAACAAAGAGAAAATAACAGGATGATTTTAATCTTAGCCATTGCAAGAATGTACTGAATTGAATTTTGGAGTAGTTTAAATTTTAACAGATTGGAAAAACCCGTGACGTCACATAAGTACAATTCAATCAGCGAATCTATATTACATATATTCTATATACTTTAGATAACGAGTATAAAAGATTTCAAGGTGATAAGAAACTAAATATATCGAAGAATACGTAGATATTTGAAACAATATATTTTTGAATCGACAGAGGTGATAGTTAACGTCTGTTAGATAGGCAACTTATACCACAGCGGTATAAAAAGAAAAGGAGTAATTTCTAAAAGGGAGAAACAGACAGGAAATGCTATAATTCCTACAGAATCGATACAAAATTAGAAATGGAGAATGTACTATTTCACTATTAGAGAGTTAAGAGGTTGCTAATACTAGTTCTAACGATATAAAACTAGAACTAACACTAGACCTAGAACTAGAAAGTTTCGTACTTTCTAACCCGTATATTTCTAGTTCTAGGTCTAGTGTTAGTTCTAGTTTTAGTGCAATAAAAATATGCAACATAGTGATACCTTATGCTAACTAGCGCTACCTACCGCTATCGTTTGTAAAATGGATAAGATGAGAGATGTTAATCTATTTGTAGAGTCGCTAAAGATGGCCAAGGGCCGAAACTAGTTAGACTTCTATATAAAATAAAAGACATAAATAAACTTTTAATTTTATACTAACATTTAGAAAACTACTTTTGTGATTAATTTCACAATTGCATAACAGATGTCGGGTGTATTCTGTAGTATGAGTTGTCGACCTATCAGGCGCCAAGAACTATCACCAGCTTAATTACCGTATTTTCTCGAATCTAATCCGCACCCTTTTTACAAATTTTGTATGCTCTAAAATCAAATGCGGATTACAATCGGATGTGGATTACATTGGAAAACCAACTTTTTTTACCATCATTGCATTTTTAAAATCGGGGTGCGGATAAGATTCGAGAAAATACGGTAATTCACAGAGCTCAAAACACAATGTCCCAAAAATAAATTGTTTAAAATATCTACTTAATAAATATGTATTCTTGGATATATTTAGTTTCTTATCACTTTAACTTTTTATGTTCATTATCTGAACTATTTATAATTTATGTAAGTAGATTCCTTGAAAATGTTTATTTCCTTTTGTTAACCTTCAAAGAATTCTTTAAGTTGCGAATTGCACTTATTTGACGTCACGGGTTTTTCCAATCTGTTAAAATATAAACAACAACAATTCCAAACTTGGACTCAGTAAGTTCTTGCAATGGCCAAAATTAAAATCATCCTCCTCTTTTCACTTTGTTGTGTTTCAACGTCGTTCGGTTATTTCAAACAATCGGAAACAAATTTAATCGCTTCAACTCCTTTGGGGCAACTTAGAGGAACCACATTAACAAGTAGGAAAGGGGCGAAGATTCTTTCTTTTCTCGGGGTTCGATACGCTGAGGCACCAATTGGAAATTTAAGATTTCAGGTATTAAAATAAAGTTTCTTTGTGAGCTGTCACTGTCAACTTCTAATTTATAAGTGATACCAACATAAATAAGTTATTATTTTTTTAACGTTTCCATTAAAATTATTTAAATTAAATCTAATAATATTCAAGAATCTACTAGATTATAGATTTTACTGTCCTTGAATAATATTAATATGTTTGCTTAATTTATTTATTAAAAATTAATTTAATAAAAATAAATTAAAATGTTACCGCCATCTATTATCGCAACTTTGAAACATAAGATACGTCAAATTTAACTGTTAATATTTAAATTAAATCTAATAATATTCAAGGACAGTAGAATCGACTAGATTATAAATTAAACTATCCTTGAATAATATTAACATGTTTGATTAATTTATTTATTAAAAATTAATTTAATAAAAATAAATTAAAATGTTACCGCCATCTATTATCGCAACGTTGAAACATAAGAAACGTCAAAATGACGTTTAAATGCAACAATAATTTTTTAACTTGGTGTTTATTTATTATTTTTAGCCTCCAGTCCCTGTAAAACCCTGGAAAGAAATTTACGATGCCACAAAAAATCCTCCACTTTGTCCACAATCTTTCGTTAATTCAACTAAAGAGGATTGTTTATTTCTTAACGTTTATACGCGAAGCGTAAGTTTAAAAATTTCATCCGAATTTCTTTAACATTTAAATTTTAGTTAGAAAATGAGAAAAAGCCGGTTATGGTTTTTTTCCACCCCGGTGGATTTTACGAAGGAATTTCGTCAAGCGAATTCTTTGGTCCTCATTATCTTTTAGATCAAGATATAGTTTTGGTTGTTCCGAATTATCGCCTTCAAACCCTCGGTTTTTTAGCAACGGGTACTAAAGAGGCCCCAGGAAATAACGGACTTAAAGATCAAGTTCAAGTTCTTCGTTGGGTTCAACAAAATATTGCTTCGTTTTCTGGTGATCCTAATAATGTAACAATTTGTGGTTATAGTGCTGGAGGAACAAGTGTAACTCTTCATATGGTCTCACCGATGTCGCGGGGATTATTTCATAAAGCCATTTCAATGAGTGGTGCTGCTTTTGGGGTACAGCCAATTATTTCCGATCAATTAAGATTGGCTAAAAAACAAGCCCAATTAGTTAATTGTCCCGAAGAAGTTGACAATGGCCTTATTGATTGTTTAAAATCGAAAACTTCAGAGGAATTATCTAATAATTTACAAGGATATAAAGAGTTTCTTAATGATCCGATTTGGTTATGGATGGTGGTTATTGAACCCGATTTTGGACAGGAAAGATTTTTGGTCGAACATCCAATAAAATCCGTTGTTAATAAAAGAGTCGCCGATGTTCCCCTTTTAATCGGGGTTACTAAAGATGAATTTGGTGGAAGATCTTATTGTAAATTAATTTTTTATTTAATTAATTTAAATTAAATCATTTTTTTTTAGTTGTAGTAAATAATCAAACCGCTTTAAAAGAATTTGATGAAAACTACACAACAAATTGGCCCATTATTTTTGGGTACGAAAGAGATTCACAATTTTCTTTAAACGTTTCCGAAGGATTACGGAAATTTTATTTCCCCGATAATAAAATCGATGAATCAAAACGGCAGGAAATCGCCGATTTATACGCCGATAGCATAATCGGTTTTGGGAGTAATCGCGGTGCAAAACTTTTAACGCAACATCTCACCAATAAAGTTTATTATTACAGGTTTAGTTATAAAGGAAAATATTCTTTCTTTTATATTCCCGGTACTAACAACACCGTTTCTTATGGTAACAAATTAAAAATTAATTAACACAAAAAAATTGTACTAAAATTTTTAGGTGCATCACATCACGATGATTTGTTATATCTTTTTTATATCTCACGTCGAACTCCGATGTTTACCGAACAACCCGAAAGTAAAATTGTTGATTATCTAACAACGATTTGGGGTAATTTCATTAAAACTGGGAATCCCGATACAAAATCGTATAAATGGCCGGAATATGATTTGGTCAATCAAAAATATTTAGATATTAATATTAATTTGAAAACTTCGAATTTTATGTTTGAGCAACGTTATAAAGTATGGGAAAAACTTTATCCAATATCACTTTATTTAAATTAACGCTAATCTCGCAACTAACGCCATCTTTTATTAACTAGCTGTTTTATATCACAATATTTAAATTCGATATTGTTGAATTATTGTAATAAATATTAATATTTGTGAAATATTGTGTATAAATGAAAGGCTTTTATTAGCCAGGCGTCTGAAGATGCAATTAAGTTGTTGTATATTTTTATTGAATTAAAACCGAATTATATAGTACCTGTTTGCGATAATAGATGACGGTAGGTAACGGTTCAATTTCTTTTAACAAGACAAAAGTAAGTTTTTTAAAGTTCTTTTAAAGTAACTAAATTAATCAAATATATTAATATTATTAAGGCCCGGTATATATTTCTTTATAATTAAAAATTGAAAAAATAGAAATTAAAGTACTTTATTAGAAAATAGATGATAAAATAGTAAACTATAAATTTTTAAAATATTCAAGAAATGGTCAACGAGAATTATTTTCTACATTTTCATTAATTTTAATATTCTCAACATCCACATTTCCAACTTATCATATGTTCCTTAAACCCTAGGAATGACATTTTTAACTTGTCATACAGAAGTTCTAACTTGACAGATGACATTTATACTATAAAAATGACATTTCTAGTTTGAAAATGGCATTTCCAACTTACCATATGTTATTTATACCCTAGAAATGACATTCCTAGCTTGACATGCTACAATTCTAACTTGACAGATGACATTTATAGTATAAAAATGACATTTCCACTTTGAAAATGACATTTCCAACTTAACATATGACATTTAAACCCTAGGATTGACATTTATAGCTTGACATACAACAATTGTGACTTGACAGAAGACATTTACGGTATAAAAATAACACTTCTACTTTGAAAATGATATTTTCAATTTGACATATGACATTTAAACCCTAGAAATGACATTTTTACCTTGTCATACAGAACTTCTAACTTGACAGATGACATTTATAGTATAAAAATGACATTTCTACTTTGAAAATGGCATTTCCTACTTACCATATGTTCTTTAAACCCTAGAAATGACATTCTAGCTTGACATGCTACAATTCTAACTTGACAGATGACATTTATAGTATAAAAATGACATTTCTACTTTGAAAATGGCATTTCCAATTTGACATATGACATTTAAACTGAAAATTAATTAAAATGAAAATCCCATCAAAACATATTTTTGATCTCCCAAATTGTTTATTTAAAGTGATTATAGATTCCACGAAGTTATTTTTCCCAGTAAATCAATCAGTGAAAAAATATAACCTCACTTTTTTATTTCATTACTTTTAAATTGTGAAGATTTAAGAAAACTGTAAGAATTGATTAACATAATATGAAGGTAAGTCGATTAATTGTATTAACTTTAAATAATTAATTCAAATAATTAAAAACATTCTTTTCTATTTTTAATTTAACCCAAATTTAAGTTAGAAAAATTAATTAAACATTAATTGACAAGGTAAACATTTTTTGTGATTTTTTTTATCAATCTCAATGATTTATCTCAAAAAATCAAAAAGTTCGAACTTTCAACTTTCAATTTTGATATATTTGTCAATTTCATAAAAAATCCTTTAAAATGAGTCCAAACTCGACATATTTCACTTTAATATTAATGGAAATACAATCACTTCCGGTTTGAAACGTCAACCTCAATTTTGACATATTTGTCATCTTCATTAAAAAACCTTTNTAGCTTGTCATACAGAAGTTCTAACTTGACAGATGACATTTATAGTATAAAAATGACATTTCTACTTTGAAAATGGCATTTCCAATTTGACATATGACATTTAAACCTGAGAAATGACATTTTTAGCTTGTCATGCCTCAGTTATTCGTTATTCGGGTCTAAACCCGAAACTTTCTAGTTCCAGGTCTAGTGTTAGTTCTAGTTTTATACTAGCACTATCACTAGAGCTAACTCAAGACCTAGAACTAGAATCATTCAAATAAAAAAAAATGTGTTGGTAACTACAAATTACTTAACTGTCATATTTTACGAAAAAAAAGTTTAATTTAACCAAAAATCCCATCAAAATACGTTTTTGATCTCTCAAATTGTTTATTTAAATAACTTTAAATAATTCATTAATTGCAATAATTAAAACATTTTTGTTGTTATTAATTATATTTTATTCTATTTTTTATTAAACAGTTGCTAACTCCATCTACCGGTGATCATTCATATAAATTTGATGTCTTCCTAAAATTATTCAATTTTGCGAGAAAAAAGTTGAAATTAACCGAAAATCCCATCAAAAGAAGGAAAAACATAAACCCGACGTTAGCAACAATGAAGATAGCAATTTAATTTTTAAATATTAATACCAACCTTAATTTTTCATTTTTTTTTTATTATATTTTTGTTTTTGTGACAAATATTAAGACTTTTTATAAAAATTATGAATATGTCAAAATGATATTGACATTTCAAACCGGAAGTTGCTTATATCTCGAGTAATATTGGAATTAAACGTATCATGTTTGGACTCATTTTAAAGGATTTTTCACGACGATTACAAATATGTCAACATTGACGTTGACATTCTTAACCGGAAGTTGACCATAACTTCATTAATATTGAAGATAAATATATCGTGTTTGTACTCATTTTAAAGGATTTTTAATGAAGATTACAAATATGTCAAAATTGAGGTTGACATTTTAAACCTGAAGTTAGTTATCATATAATAGAGGTTTTATAACTGAAGTTAATTATATGATTATATAAGTTGTTTGGGTCATTTCACATTGATTAAAAAAAAATCGTCAATTTTTAAGCTACATGATGATTTTTTGAAGAATCCTGTATAATTGTAAAAAAATAATAAAAACTTATTTATGTTGGTATTACTTATAAATTTGTAGTCGACACTGTCAATTACAAATAAAATTGTTACTATCTACTTTACAGTGACAGCTCACAATAAATACTTTATTGCGTAAAGAAAATAGAAATCAACTTAGTTCCAGAAAATTCCTTAGAATATCGAACAAAGAAAAGAAAAAAATTATTGCACGCACTGAATTCATTTTTGGAATTGTTTATGTTTTAACAAATTGGTAAAACACGTCACGGGTTTTTCCAAATGAGTGCAATCTGCGATCTAATTAGGAATTCTGTGAAGGTTAACAAAAGGAAATAAACATTCCGCATCAACAACTTTAAATCACATATTATAAATAACTTAATCCTCGTCTGTTATGTGCAATTTTGTAACGTTTTTAGTCACGGTCTGTTGGAACTATAAACAATAATTTTCGTTTTTATAAGAATTTTGTATTACCTTTACCCACAACATAAATATTTCATAATATAGTCTGTTAAAAAACCTGATAAGAAATTAAATATATCCTGATAAGAATAAACATATTTATTAAGCAGATATTTTAAACAAATTTTCAATTTAAATAATGAGATAACGGCAAAAGTTTTTCCCAAACTTTATAACGATTCTCAAACATCGAAGATAAAGTCCTCAAATTCAAACTTATATCTAAATAATGTTGATCCTTTAAGTTATATTCAGGCCAATTGTAAGATTTCGTGCTGGGATTCCCAGTTTTAACGAAATTTGTCCAAAGCGTTGTCATGATATCGACGATTTTGCTTTCAGGGTCTTCGGTAAACATTGGAGTTAACGGGGCGATGTAAAAAAGATACAATAATTCGTCGTGGTGTGATACACCATAAGGGATTGTATCGTTACTTCCAGGCAGATAAAAAAAGGAGTATCTATGTTTAAAATTAAATCTGTAATAATAAACTTTATTGGTGAGGTGTTGCGCTAAAAGTTTAGCCCCTCGATTGCTTCCAAACCCAATTATGCTATCGGCGTATAAATCGGCGATTCCTTGCCGCTTTGATTCATCAATTTTATTATCGGGGAAATAATATTTGCGTAAACCATCGGATATGTTTGAAGATAACTGCGAATCTCTTTCGTAACCAAAAACGATCGGCCAAATTTTTTTGTAATCATCATCGAATTCTTTTAATGCGGTTTTATTATTAACGATATCTAAAATTTTATTTTTTTTAAATAAATTTGTTTTCAAAGTATAGTAAAACCTCGATATAAAACGGACTTCGAATATAGCGGAATTAAGATGGCTAAATAGAAACGTTTCTAGTTCTAGATCTAGTGTTAGTCGTATTTATTGAAATTAAGGAATGAGACTTGTTCTAAATTAAAGCTCAAAGCTTTCTCTTTAAAATGATGTATAATAATTGTTGGGTTGGATTGGAAAAATATTGAGAAAAAAAATGTTGAAACAAAACTTACATTTTCGTATAACCTAAAAGTGTCAAAAAAGATGCTAATTTAAAAATTCCTGGAAGCCGTATTTATTGAAATTAAGGAATGAGACTTATTCTAAATTAAAGCTCAAAGCTTTCTCTTTAAAATGATGTATAATAATTGTTGGGTTGGATTGGAAAAATATTGAGAAAAAAAATGTTGAAACAAAACTTACATTTTCGTATAACCTAAAAGTGTCAAAAAAGATGCTAATTTAAAAATTCCTGGAAGCCGTATTTATTGAAATTAAGGAATGAGACTTATTCTAAATTAAAGCTCAAAGCTTTCTCTTTAAAATGATGTATAATAATTGTTGGGTTGGATTGGAAAAATATTGAGAAAAAAAATGTTGAAACAAAACTTACATTTTCGTATAACCTAAAAGTGTCAAAAAAGATGCTAATTTAAAAATTCCTGGAAGCCGTATTTATTGAAATTAAGGAATGAGACTTATTCTAAATTAAAGCTCAAAGCTTTCTCTTTAAAATGATGTATAATAATTGTTGGGTTGGATTGGAAAAATATTGAGAAAAAAAATGTTGAAACAAAACTTACATTTTCGTATAACCTAAAAGTGTCAAAAAAGATGCTAATTTAAAAATTCCTGGAAGCCGTATTTATTGAAATTAAGGAATGAGACTTATTCTAAATTAAAGCTCAAAGCTTTCTCTTTAAAATGATGTATAATAATTGTTGGGTTGGATTGGAAAAATATTGAGAAAAAAAATGTTGAAACAAAACTTACATTTTCGTATAACCTAAAAGTGTCAAAAAAGATGCTAATTTAAAAATTCCTGGAAGCCGTATTTATTGAAATTAAGGAATGAGACTTATTCTAAATTAAAGCTCAAAGCTTTCTCTTTAAAATGATGTATAATAATTGTTGGGTTGGATTGGAAAAATATTGAGAAAAAAAATGTTGAAACAAAACTTACATTTTCGTATAACCTAAAAGTGTCAAAAAAGATGCTAATTTAAAAATTCCTGGAAGCCGTATTTATTGAAATTAAGGAATGAGACTTATTCTAAATTAAAGCTCAAAGCTTTCTCTTTAAAATGATGTATAATAATTGTTGGGTTGGATTGGAAAAATATTGAGAAAAAAAATGTTGAAACAAAACTTACATTTTCGTATAACCTAAAAGTGTCAAAAAAGATGCTAATTTAAAAATTCCTGGAAGCCGTATTTATTGAAATTAAGGAATGAGACTTATTCTAAATTAAAGCTCAAAGCTTTCTCTTTAAAATGATGTATAATAATTGTTGGGTTGGATTGGAAAAATATTGAGAAAAAAAATGTTGAAACAAAACTTACATTTTCGTATAACCTAAAAGTGTCAAAAAAGATGCTAATTTAAAAATTCCTGGAAGCCGTATTTATTGAAATTAAGGAATGAGACTTATTCTAAATTAAAGCTCAAAGCTTTCTCTTTAAAATGATGTATAATAATTGTTGGGTTGGATTGGAAAAATATTGAGAAAAAAAATGTTGAAACAAAACTTACATTTTCGTATAACCTAAAAGTGTCAAAAAAGATGCTAATTTAAAAATTCCTGGAAGCCGTATTTATTGAAATTAAGGAATGAGACTTATTCTAAATTAAAGCTCAAAGCTTTCTCTTTAAAATGATGTATAATAATTGTTGGGTTGGATTGGAAAAATATTGAGAAAAAAAATGTTGAAACAAAACTTACATTTTCGTATAACCTAAAAGTGTCAAAAAAGATGCTAATTTAAAAATTCCTGGAAGCCGTATTTATTGAAATTAAGGAATGAGACTTATTCTAAATTAAAGCTCAAAGCTTTCTCTTTAAAATGATGTATAATAATTGTTGGGTTGGATTGGAAAAATATTGAGAAAAAAAATGTTGAAACAAAACTTACATTTTCGTATAACCTAAAAGTGTCAAAAAAGATGCTAATTTAAAAATTCCTGGAAGCCGTATTTATTGAAATTAAGGAATGAGACTTATTCTAAATTAAAGCTCAAAGCTTTCTCTTTAAAATGATGTATAATAATTGTTGGGTTGGATTGGAAAAATATTGAGAAAAAAAATGTTGAAACAAAACTTACATTTTCGTATAACCTAAAAGTGTCAAAAAAGATGCTAATTTAAAAATTCCTGGAAGCCGTATTTATTGAAATTAAGGAATGAGACTTATTCTAAATTAAAGCTCAAAGCTTTCTCTTTAAAATGATGTATAATAATTGTTGGGTTGGATTGGAAAAATATTGAGAAAAAAAATGTTGAAACAAAACTTACATTTTCGTATAACCTAAAAGTGTCAAAAAAGATGCTAATTTAAAAATTCCTGGAAGCCGTATTTATTGAAATTAAGGAATGAGACTTATTCTAAATTAAAGCTCAAAGCTTTCTCTTTAAAATGATGTATAATAATTGTTGGGTTGGATTGGAAAAATATTGAGAAAAAAAATGTTGAAACAAAACTTACATTTTCGTATAACCTAAAAGTGTCAAAAAAGATGCTAATTTAAAAATTCCTGGAAGCCGTATTTATTGAAATTAAGGAATGAGACTTATTCTAAATTAAAGCTCAAAGCTTTCTCTTTAAAATGATGTATAATAATTGTTGGGTTGGATTGGAAAAATATTGAGAAAAAAAATGTTGAAACAAAACTTACATTTTCGAATAACCTAAAAATGTCAAAAAAGATGCTAAATCAAAATTTTCTGGAGGCCGTATTTATTGAAATTAAGGAATGAGACTTGTTCTAAATTAAAGCTCAAAGCTTTCTCTTTAAAATGATCACATCTGGACGAATAAGTTTAAATATATCTAAAAACCCTACAGTGCGGATTGCCTCAGCAGCATAACTGCCTCGGTTTTTAAATAATATATGGTTGAAAATTTAGAATTTCTGCCTCGGCTTTTATGTAAAGTTTTTGTATTAAAAAAAAACTTTACTTTATTTTAAGTACTAGAACCACTGCTTCGGCAGCATAGCTGCCTCGGCTTCTAAGTAATGTATTTGTATTAAATAGTTTTACTTCATTCCAACAAATTAAAGTGTATATTAAAATTTTTTGCGTATTAATCCATTATTAAATCGAGGTTTTACTATACTTTAAAGAAAAAAGAATATTTTAATAATTTCTTACTGAAAGATTGTCCACCAAACTCATCTTTAGTCACCCCAATCATCAAAGGAACATCGTGCACTCTTTTATTAACCACGGACTTAATCGGGTGCTCAACCAAAAATCTCTCCTGCCCAAAATCGGGTTCAATCACCCAAGTCCACCGCCATAAAGGATCGTGCAAAAATTCCTGCCCACAAAAACTCACAAAAAAAATTCTTTATAATCAAACAAAAGCCTTACATCAAAACCAGCAAGATTTTTCGATAACTCATCGGAACTTTTCGTTTTTAAACAATCAACCAAATTTTCAATTGGACAATTAACCAATTCGCCTTGCCTTTTAGCCAATCGTTCCAAATTTGTACCAATTGGAACCGGTCCAAAAGCCGCACCACTCATTGCGATGGCTTTATGAAATAATCCTTTTGACATCGGTGAAACCATATGAAGAGTTACACTAAACCCACCAGCGCTATAACCACTTATCGTTACATCATTGGGATCACCAGAAAATGAAGCAACGTTTTGTTGGATCCAACGAAGAACTTGAACTTGATCTTTAAGGCCGTAATTTCCCGGTGCTTCTTTAGTACCCGTTGCTAAAAACCCGAGGGTTTGAAGACGATAATTCGGAACAACCAAAACTATATCTTGATCCATGAGATATTGAGGTCCAAATGAATCACTAGAAGATGTACCCCCGTAAAAACCTCCTGGATGGAAAAAAACCATAACAGGCTTCTTTTCGTTATTATTATTATTTAATCGGGTGTAAACGTTAAGAAAAAGGCAATCCTCTGAAGTGGTGTTATAATAACTTTGTGGACATTGAGGAGAATTTTTTGTGGCGTCGTAAATGTCTTTAAACGGTTTTGCAGGAACTGGTGGCTACGAAAAGTTGTTGCTTATTTATTCTTTTTTGTTAATTTTTTTTATTATTATCACCTGAAATCTTAGATTTCCCACCGGAGCTTCAGCATATCGAACCCCAAGGAAAGCAGAAATCGTAGCTCCTTTCCTGGTGTTTATTGTGGTTCCTCGAAGGTTTCCCAACGGAGTTGAAACGACCGGATTTGTAGAGGCGCACCTAAGAAAGCCATTTATCAAAGCTAGAAGAAGCAACAGGAACGGGACGTCGAGAGAATTGGCCATCGCGAACCGCACTGAGTTACTACCGTGCGATTGTCGAGGATTATATATTATAGAATTGGAAATCCCGGTGACGTATTATCCAAGAAGTGCATTTCGCAATTTTATCATAATAGAAAAATTCTCCGCGGAAAAATAGATACCGAGAATGAATGTGTTAATTAATAATAATTCCTCCAGTTTCGATTCCGCACATGTGCGAACAAGCTTCTGCTCGGCAAGTTGAAACGAGCGCGAGCTTTCAGTCGGTTTCAGAACTTGCGACGTGAACGATCACGGAAATTTTTTCCCAAAAAAAAACGCTGTTGATATTCGCGCAACATAAACGAACGTAATTTAACAACAAATTATTTTAATGATAAAATAATTTCTAAAATAAAAGTTTTTTTTCTATGATTTCATTAATTTATTTTTATTTTTCTTATGATTGTGGTTAACGTGATTGTTGTGTTTGAGGAATCGAACTGTTTGATAATAAAAATTGTTTAAAAATAAAAATAAAGAAAAAAGGGGCAAGGTGAGTATCCAATCGAAATTATTTTGGTTTATTTAAACACAACCTTCGCGTGTAATCGATGGGAATTGTCCTATTTATATATTTATTAATCTCTTATCGATGCTTTATTTAACGTTAAATGCATTTTTAATTGATTTGAAATTCTTGACATACACAAAATTGAGTGTGCAGTGGAATGGAAGATAGATAATTGTGATTATTTATTATGATAACTAACTTCAGGATTGAAATGTCAACCTCAATTTTGACATATTTGTAATCTTCATTAAAAATCCTTTAAAACGAGTACAAACACGACATATTTATCTTCAATATTAATAAAGTTATGGTTAACTTCCGGTTAAGAATGTCAACCTCAATTTTGACATATTTGTAATCGTCGTGAAAAATTCTTTAAAATGAGTCCAAACATGATACGTTTAATTCCAATATTAATGGAGATATAAGAAACTTCCGGTTTGAAATGTCAATGTCATTTTGACATATTCTTAATTTTTATAAAATGTCTTAATATTTGTCACAAAAACAAAAATATAATAAAAAAAAA